AATGATATAGTCAAATGTCTTGGTCAATCAACAGAAGGGTCGTTATTTGTGGATGACTTCTTGATCTGTTACAGATCTAAGAACATGCACACGATAGAACGACAACTTCAACAGAGTTTAAACAAACTACAAAATTGGGCAGACGAAAACGGCTTCAAATTCTCTAAATCCAAAACTGTGTGCATGCATTTCTGTCAAAAACGAAAAGCACACAATGACCCAAATCTAACACTCGATGGCACTAGAATTCCTGTTGTTGAACAGACTAAATTTCTCGGCCTCATTTTTGATTCGAAACTCTCTTTCATACCACATATAAAGTATCTGAAGGATAAGTGTTCCAAGGCGTTAAACATTATACGAGTCCTTTCTCATACTGATTGGGGAGCGGATCGTGAAATGCTTTTGCGCCTATACAGATCACTTATTCGAACAAAACTGGATTATGGTTCTATGGTATACGGGTCAGCGCGCAGTTCGTACCTTCAGATGCTAGATCCAATCCATAACCAAGGGCTACGTCTTGCCCTGGGAGCTTTTCGAACAACACCTGTAAAAAGCCTGTACGTGGAAGCAAATGAACCATCCCTTTATGACAGAAGAATAAAACTTTCATTACAATTTGCAACTCAATTAAAATCAAACCCTAAAAATCCTGCTTTCAACCAAGTATTCAACCCCAAATACCAAAACATATTTACGCAAAACCAAAAACTTCTGCCAACATTTGGTATCCGAATTTTGAATTTCCTGCAAGAACTCAACATAAAATTGACGGACATAGCTGAATTTAACATATCTGATGTTCCTCCGTGGACCATTCAAACCCCCGATTTTAACTTTACATTACATGAGCGAGGGAAATCAAGTGTTATGCCCGAAGAACACAAATCCTCCTTTCGGGAATGCATTTCGAATTACCCTTCTCATACACAACTTTACACCGATGGCTCCAAAGAAGGTGAGAAAGTGGCAGCAGCCTGCTGTACTGCCAATACTTGCACTTCAGTCCGACTACCAGACGGCGCCTCCATCTTT